GACTGCAGCGAGGGGGGAAGCACGAGGAGGAGGAGGAGGAGAAGGAGGAGCAGGAAGAGGAGGAGGAGCGGGTGGAGGAGGGGGAGGAGAAGGAGGAGGAGGAGGACGAGGAGGCCCCGCAAGGAGCTCCACCCACTGCCCCAGCGGGCAAGTTTGCATGCCGCCACACCCTTCCCCCCAACCATGTCGACACGCGCCTCTTACGTTGTGTGCCCCCACACGGGAGTTCCTCCCTTGGCGCCAGTAAACACCATTTCGGCACTCCCTCGCGCGTTTCGAGCGTGTCCAGGAACGCCGCCTGGGCCCCAGTGTGAAGTTTGCTCGCCGTCTGGCACACCCCTCACCTTCTAGGCAGCTCCCCCTGTGGCGCCTCGCATGGCGTCCCGCCGCTCATAATGGTGCATCCCTCACGTGGGTCGTGCCCCCCCCGCCTACTCGAGGTTCGACCTGCCTACGGCCTCAGTGGGCTCGTTCACGTGAGGGCTCCACCAATTCGTCCGTCTCCCCCATATCCCGCGGATCGTGGCCCGCAGGAGATTCATGGTGCCTCTGCGTGCTTGCTCTGCAGTCCCCTATCCGCACTGCCCCGCGGCGCCCAGTATATGAAAAGAGGGCATTCGCACCTTCGTAGGGTTGGGCCATTTGCAGGGCAAGTTTGGGTTTGGCCTCTGGAGGCTTTTGGAGGCATTCTGCAACTATTCGAGAGCTCTTGAGACCTCCGGGGACCTCCTGAGCAGGAGGGGGAGGGACCCAGGGGCCCATGTTTAGAAAAAATATTGACGCAGGATGCCTGGAGGGGACGATGGGGAGGGAGGAAGGTTGGGGGGGAGAGAGGAGGGAGTTATGGAGTGGAGAGGAGGGAGGGAGGGAGGGAGGGAGGGAGGAGGTGGAGGAGGAGAAGGAGGAGAATGAGGAGGAGAAGGAGGAAGATAAGGCGCTTTATTTACTCAGGACGGCAGCGAGGAGGAGGAGGAGAAGGAGTAGGAGGAGGAGGAGGAGGAGGAGGAAGAGGAGGAAGAGAAGGAGGAGTAGGAGGAGGAGGCGGAGGGAGGAGGAGGGTTGGGGATCGAAGGGAGGATCAAGGTCCGAGGACTGAAGTTTGCGGGATTTTGGAGTATGCTGGAGGATTCCTGTGAGAGTTGCAGAGACTTTCAGGGACCTAGGAGGATCGAGGATCAAGGATCGATGATGATGGCGGTGGTGATGATGATGATGATGGCGATGATGATGGTGATGATGACGACGACGACGGTGACGACGACGACAATGATGATGATGCTGCTGCTGAAGAAGATGCTGATCATCGTGGTGATGACGATGAAGATGCTGCTATTGATGATGATGATGACGATTCCGACGACGATGATGATGATGAGGATGATGATGATCATGAAAATGGTAGTGTTGATGATGATGGTGATGGTGGCGATGATGATTTTGGTGGTGGTGTTGGTGGTGATGGTGGTGGTTATGGTGATGTTGCTGCTGATGATGATGCTGATGTATGACGAGTATGAGTATGGTGATGGTGATGATCAGGAAAAATGTTGATGCTGATGATGATGACGATTACGATGATGATGATGTTGATGATGATGACGATGACCATGATTATGCTGATGATACTGATGATGCTGATGATGGTGGTGGTGGTGGTGATGATAAGGATGATGATGGCGATAACGAGGGTGATCGCGATGATGATGACGATGCTGATGACAATGATGATGATGCTGATGATGATGATGATGCTGATGGTGTTGCATCTGTTGCCAGTGATGATGATGTGGAATATGATAAGGGTGATTCTGCTGAAGATGATGCTGCTGATGACGTAGACGATGAAGATGAGGATGAAGATGCTGATGATGCTGATGATTATGACGATGATGGTGATGCTGCTGATGATGATGCTGGTGATGGTAGGGTTGATGATGATGACGATGATGATGGCGATGATGATGATAATGGTGGTGGTGATGGTGGTGGTAATGGTGATAATGGTGATGCTGCTGCTGCTGATGATGTGGCTGATGTATGACGAGCATGAGTATGGTGATGAACATGGAAACATGATGATGGTGCTGATGATGATGATGACGATCACGATGGTGATGATGATGATGATGATGATGATGCTGATGATGATGATGATGATGATTGTGCTGATGATGCTGATGATGCTGGTGATGATGGTGGTGGTGATGATGCTGATGATGATAATGATGATGATGATGATGATGATGATGATGATGATGATGATGATGATTGCGATGACGAGGATTATCGCGATGATGATGCCGATGCTGATGACGATGATGATGAGGATGCTGCTGCTGCTGATGATGATGATGCTGGTGATGCTGCATCTGTTGCTGATGATGATCCTGATTATGATATTGATGATGCTGCTGATGATGCTGCTGATGATGTTGACGATGCAGATGATGATGAATCTGATGACGATGATGATGACGATGCTGATGCCGATGGTGCTGCTGATGCTGTTGCTGATGATGATGGCGATGGTGATGGTGATGGTGATGGTGATGATGATGATGATGATGATGATGATGATGATGATGATGGTGATGGTGGTGGTGGTGGTGGTGGTGATGATGATGATGATGATGATGATGATGATGATGATGATGATGATGCTGGTAGTGTTGATGATGCTGAGGAGGAAGAGGACGGTCAATGACCGAAGACAGGTGACCAGTTACAATGTTTATTCGACGTGTGATTTTCTTTCTGGCCCAGGGGAGGCTTCTCGTCGCCATGGTCAGATTTCCTTTGAAGTTTGGGTTGAAACGTTTCCCAGGAGAGTTCCGAGGAGTCTAGGCGGTGGAGGAGGAGAAAGAGGAGGACAAGGGCGATGACGAGGACGAGGAGGAGGAGGAGGAGGAGGAGGAGGAGGAGGAGCAGGAGCAGGAGCGGTAGGAGCAGGAGGAGCAGGAGGAACCATGAGGAGCAGGAGGAGGTGGAAGATTGCAAGGAAAAAGGATGACTGCCTGCTCCCCCTCCTTCCGCATTCCGCTCGCGCGATCTCCGTCGTGTTTGCGTTCTGTTTTGTTTTGTTTTCTCTCTGGAGAGGGTTTGCGCCGATTTCTGCATTTCCGCCTTCCTTTGAGCCTGGGGAGTCGTATCTATGTTTTCAGATGCGATGCACCGCTGCCGTTTTAGGTACAAGCGCTTTGGAGGCTCCGCGAACGCAGAGAACAACAGCGCTCCCTCTGGTAGCGGAACCTGGTCAGGTTCCGCGAGCCTCCGAGTCCAGCGAGGCAGCCCCCAGGCTCTCGGCCGCCTCGGACGTCAAGTGGGCGCTGATCGGCGACGCGCCGCCGCCAGCTGCCGAGGGCCGGCGCGCGGCGGCGGAGCGTGCGGTGCGAGCTCGTGTGGAGGGTCCACCGGCTCTTTTTCAAGCGCCGCTGCTGGTCCCAGCTTGGCCAGCACCTGAAGCAGTTCACGAAACTGCGTGCTGGGCCTGGTCGTCGGGCGCGCCAAGGACGGCGCTCGAACAGCGCGTGGCGCAGCTGGAGGGGACCTACCAGCGCGTGTTCACGGAGCTTCGCGACTGGCGGGCTCGCGAGAGGGCGCTCCAGGTGGAGCTCGAGCGCTTGCGTCAGCTGACGGCTGGCGGTGGTGGCGGCGCCGGTCGAGGTGCGCAGCATGAAGCAGAGCTCGTGGACACGAGGATCCTCGGCAAGCCCGACCTCTTCCAGGGCGATGAGGGCAAGTGGAACGATTAGAAAATCATCTTCAAGGCCTACGCTCAGCGATATCACGCGCGGCATGACGATTCCCGGTCCCGACGACGTCTTGGTGCTTAATGCGGATTTGGGCGCCCTGTCGTTGCCGTCGCAGCAGCTCTACTACATCCTGATTCTTCTCTGCCGGCAGCACCCGTTGACGATGTGCGTGGGCACCAGCGAGCACCAGGGCTTCCTCGCGTGGCGGAAGCTGGTTGAATATTACGCGCCGATAGCGAGGAGCAGAGTGGGCCGGATTGCTGCTCAATCATTCGAGTTTCTTTTTCGTCGGCGACATCAGGTTCTCTAGGGCATCTTCGAGCGGGAGCTGACGCGCTACGAGCTGCGCAGCGAGGAGCCAGTCAGCGCGAGCACGTGCGTCGGCATCGTGATGAGGCAGCTGGCCGACGGCCCGCTCATGCAGCATCTTGCGACGCGCCTCCTTTGAGTGGCAGGTCTTCAAGCGCGAGATCACGGACGCCCGCTGTTCCCATGCTGTCGCCAGCCTGGTGCCCGTGGACCTGGGCGCGCTGAAGAAGGGCAGGGAGTACAAATTCAAGGCCAAGGGCAAGGGCTGCGAAGGGCAACCAAGGCGGCGCGGGCAAGGAGTCCAAAGCAAGGGCAACGACTCCAAGAGCACCGGCGACGGCAAGGCCAAGGGCAAGGTGCGCGCGCTGGTGGGCGCCTGGAACTCCGGCGAGACGCAGGGCAGGCAGAGCGGCGTGACGTGCCGGGCCTGCGGCGGCTCTGGCCACAGGCAGCGGGACTTCCTCAGCCGCGCTGATCGTGGGGGCGCGGCGAACAACCTGGAGGCGACGCTGACGGTCTTGAGCGCTGCAGGTCTCTCCGCGCAGCAAGGCCCTTCGAGCCGCGCAGCGAGCGCGGCTGACGCGACTCTTCTGAGGCCGGGCGCCGCCTGGGCCGTCCCGACTCGCGGGGTCGAGGCGGTCCGCCTCGTCGCGCCGCCCGAGGGCGTCGGCGAGTCCGCGGTCCCGTTCGCCAGGGTCCACGTGCTCGACGCGCCTGGAGCGGGCGAGCAGGAGGCGCAGTTTGCGATCCTCATCAGTGTCGGCATCGACAGCTGCACGGCAACCTCGGTGCTTCCTCCTTCGCCGCGCTCGGGCCACCCGCTCATGGGCCAGCGGGGCGGCGACGTGGCGATGTGCAGGAGCGCGAGCGGCCGCGAGGTCCACGTCCAGGGCGACCGCGAAGTCGTCGGCGAGCCGATGGGCTCGGGCGCGTTGGTCA